AGTAATTCTACTGGTGCTTTTCACCATCTGAATATTACTTCCCCCTCCGTACGTGTAAGCCTAATGAATATTTAGACAATGCACTTGACTCACCAGGGACATGAGGAACAACTCTACTTTTTAGCGTGACATTTAGGAACACTTAAGCAGCATGTTGCATTTTGAGAGAAGGGAAATTCATAAAACTAGGACGTAGCCGGCCAGAAAACTTTAATGATGTTTCAGTTTGGGCAAGTTTTTACTAAGTGTGTTTTTTTCAAAGTGGCAACTTATTAATTGGAGACACCTGTGACATAAAACTGAGTTAAAAAAAACCCAGCTTGCAATTGATTCAACTGAACGGGGTCTCCTAAGACAACCAGCAGGGGGCGGTAGCTGCCGCTAGCGCACACACCGGCTGTTCATTACTTTTCCTTTTGACGCAAACACGCGAGTTGGTTGACTATCTGGACGACGCTTGTTCACCATCTTCGAGCTACTAAATTGAGCAGAGAAGTCCACCATGAACCACGATGGACATGTGAGTTGTCTTACCACACGCCCTGCAGCCTCGCATTTAACCACGTTAGAGGACAAAAGCTGTCATCACGTCCCCATGTTTCTCCTCAGAGGTCCAGGCAGCCCACACTGCCTCCTTTCTCCAGCAGGACCCTGCACCACCCCTCCTTCCTGCCCATGTACATGGCTGCAGGCTTTGCACACCATCGCACCGACTGTAGCGTCCAAACAGGTGAGTCAAGTTTTACCCACAAAGGTTTCAGAACTTTACCCTTAAAAAGACAACTTGTCTTCTCTCCAGTCCTCCCCATCATCCCAGCAGAGTTCTTCTACACTGATCCCACCATGAGCTGTGGGAGGAGGGTCCCCAACATAGTGAGTGATTTACGGGTAAGTGGATACTGGTTGACATGACACTTATTCATGTCCCTGATAGTCAACATAAACACTATAATAAACTAGATATTAGATGGTTTAAAGACACATGATCATTTTTTATTCCTACACAAAATGTAATAACGTTTTGGAAATGCTGTAGTTAAATCTGGGCCTCCGACAAGACGAGTCCAAGTACAATTTCCAGTTTCCAGAAGGGGGTTTTAGCCTGTCGTCTGTGCTCTTTGGGTGGTTAGACGAGAGGGTAACGTTTGTAGAGCGGCTCAGACGGACCAGGACGTTTAATAAGATTCTCAGTCCCGTCAGACTAGAGCTGAGAGTCTGACCGGGGGGCTGCAAAGAAAATTGAGGCCGAGGCAGTTTGTTTTGACAGTGAAGCTGTTCATTTTAGGAAATGCTAACCATATATTGTGTTTTGTGAAAGCGCCAGAAATTTCACAAATGAATTTGACAGCAGCACAGAAAAGGAAAGCACACAAAACGGACAATGAGGATGGCAAGAAGCCACAAAAAATGCTGTAAAAGTAACTATTGCATACTAGAGTTGTTCAAACTGTTATTGTTGGATACATGGACACTTAAGACGCTAACCTTCAAATGTGCAGCTTTAATTCAGCTCATAATTAGACTTCATTCTCATGTTTTGTTTCGTCATTTCTCTCCATCAGGTTTTCGATTGCTTCCAGCTCAACACTCCGCCGCCGGTCATGTCCGCCTTCCCGGCTCCACCGAGCTGTCCGGACCCATTCAGATCAGGACCACCACACCCCACCGGGGATCTGGGCAGCCTCACCTTGAAAGTAAACACTCCCCACCTTCCAGCGCAGCAGCCAGGCCGGGTTGTCGTGCAGCTCACCCAGGAGGAGGACCAGGCCATCACTAATCTCCTGAAACTGCACCACCAAGAAGAGCCGTCGCAGAGTGACGAGCATGTGTACTTTTCCAGTGTAGCCTTGAACCCCGTCTCGTTCCGTCACCCTGAACTTATGGACACCACTTCAGCTGAGGAAGTATTCAGGCCCCTCTGTAGTGATGTGCCGTATGCGAGAGAGGCTCGTTTGCAAAGTCAGCTGCAGCAGAGAAGCTGTTGGTCAGACACAGAGCTCGAGGCAGCTAACACCCTCCTGAGTGGCTTCAGCCTGATGGAGGAGGACAAAATGTGGGGCCACAACAAATCATCAGTAACGCCTCCCGATCCTCTGCTGTACCGGCATCACGAGGATGAAAACGATGTCGGCTACGTCAGCTTTAGCTGTGCCGGGGAATACGGAGAACCCGGCTGGGGGGATTTTGGATTCGTGGAGGGAAATAATGATGTTTGTGAGTCTTCGCTGTCCTCGGACTCAAAGACGGACAGCAGATCAAGCGCCTCTGGAGGTTCTTCAGAGGCGACGAAGTGGACGCTGTCAGATTCTGAGGGAGATGCTGTGCGTGTACTCCTGAGCCTCGGAGACACGGGAGCGCTGGATATCATGCAGTGATTAAACCCGAGGGTCTTCCTTTGTCAGGGACTTTATTTCCTTTTTCTTATTATAGAAACTACTATAACTAGTTGAGGGTTCTTTGCACTGGTAGCTAATGATGTTGATTTGCACCGAAACCCCTTAATTTTCTAGAATGACAATCTATTTCTCACTTAAAGTCTAATTTTAAGTATTGCACATTTGCCTTGAAAACTACTGCATCAAGTGTTCAATAAAAAATGATCAACCGTTGAGCCTCTTATCTAAAAAGACGCATGTTTTTAATAAAATCACTACTACTGTTGAAGGAGAGAATCCCCCTCGCTCATTATTCACAACATATTGTACATGTATCCACAAAGAATATCCCGTCTTCACTGACAACACGCTGCAGGGGGAGCTACAGTATTAATCCAAAAATGGCTACCGACACAAGCTAACAAGGCTGTGGGCTGTAACGTCACAATGGCAGAGCAGCTCAGCCCACGTTTACACGCATGTTCAAAGCTCCAGATGGAAGTCCTGGTGTGTAGTTCTGTGTTTTGAGGCTGTTCAAAGGCACTTCCTGATTATTATTCTTTTCTAAAACGTGTTTGTCCTGTATTCTGGCTCACGCATTGAACTTGTGAGCAGGTGACACAAAGAGACATCAACAGGAACACACCCTAACCCTTTTCTTTTCATATGTGCAGTTTCATACCGTTGAAGTGCTACAAGTAGAGGTAAACAGTACAGCTGTGAGATACAGATCTCTGTTCCTGAATGGGTGCATGCACATTCCCATAGCGTGTCTCAGTAGTGAATCACACTTGTGTACTCCAGTAGTATAAATACGGTGACGATTGCTGGTCTGTTATGTCTCGTGATCGTCACCCTTCTCCTTTTATCTTTCATTTCCTAGTTGTTGGAAACAGACACTTCAAACTAAAAATCTTTGTACAAAGTTCACTTGGAGAGTTTGTATCCATCCATCGTCCTTTTAAACTATTGTTAATGTAAACATCCGTCGGTCCTAATGCAGCGTGTTGGCCTTGCTGCTGGCGACCATGGTTGCAGCCTGCATGACCCTGTAGCGCTCTCGCAGGTTTCGCCGCCTCACGTGCTCGTTGGTGATCTCTACGACGTTGGCTGCGGGGAACCAGCCCTTCTGACCGTCTGACAGGCGGATGCCTTCACAACAGCCTGAGAGAAAGGAGAAGTGGGGGGGGGGGGGGGACAAACAGGGGAAGATTGGAGGTTTCTGTATCGTTCATGCAAGAAAGTCAAAACAAATCAATAAACTGCTACGGTGAGAAGGTTGAGCAATGAGGCAGTTATGAGGATCAGGGTGCATAAACGAGCAGAGTCAAAGGAGTGGCATGTTAATGATTAATGTCATGTCAACGCATTTCACTTTGTTTGATAGGAAACCTGCCAGATATGGATGAAAAAATATTTAACACCAAAAAAAAAAGTGCTCTGTTAAAGAGGAAATGTTTACAACCGTGTGTGTGTGATCATCTTTTCTAATCTTTTTTCACGTTTCGCTGTGGAAGTCTGGAAGTTTCCCTCCTCGCTCTTACCCTCGTTGGTTTTGCGGACGACGTTGACGATCTCAGTGGGCTCCAGGGTGAGCTCGTCCGCCTGCTGGGCGATGTACTGCTCCACGCACTGCACCTGAGGACAATCTGGCACACGCACACAAGAAACTAAGTTCATGAAACACACACAAACATACACTTTAGTTTCAATTTGTTTTGCATCTGGTGTGTGTCCTCACCCCAGTCCTCGTAAATCACTTCTTCCTCATCTCTGTCTGGGTTGGTCGGGTTGGGGAAAGCCGCCATCCACCTGTGCATGTCTGACCTGTTCACACAAACAATTAGCTTACTGTGAAAGAGGGACATATGGGAAAAACAACTAAGAATTGTGGATCAGGAATGCCTCTCAAATCCTGAAATCCTTAGACAATCCCAGAGAAAGTTGGGGCAGTTTATGTGTTTCTCAGCTACTCACTGGGAGGGGGCTTTGAGCAGCCTCTCCATCATGCGTCCCTGGTGGTTTTCCAGCAGGGTGAGGTTGAAGCAGTGCTCTAAGGGGCCGGCGCCACCCCCGCCTTCATCGGTTGGCTGTACCTGCACCAGAGAGCGGTGGGCGTGGTCGAGTACCACAAAACGCTCCGCACTGTCACAGAAAAAGAAGGGCGAGTTGTTTTTATGGGTATTAGGGTGAAGTGGACTTCAAGTAGGAATCATGTGCAGTGATTATTAAGCATGTACCATGTACTTAACTGCATTTGGTATAATATGCATATTGTATGCAATTCTTTTGTGATCCTATCTATGTGGCAACAATGGTATATTTGAAATCTACTCATCTGTTCCTCTCAGTTCTCTTGAAACACTATTTCCTGCCACATTTGAGGAAGTTTGGACTCATTTCACTTGTGATGACACATTGTTAAAGAGTGTTGATTGCTTTTGCGGTCAATTGCCGCTTGAACGAGGTTTACACGCACTTTGCTCGCATTTGTGTAGTTGTTGGCTGTCGAGTGCTGACTCAGCTCTGCCTCATAAATTATAAAAAAAGATCCGTAATTCTGCACGATGAACCGTGTGCTCGGGCTGGTGGTTGACACACATTGTCGTATTTGGGTCGTTGTGATGAAAGAAAGTGACTTCTGCAGAAATGTTAGAGGAATGTGATTGACGTGTATCAATGTCCCCAGATAAAGAGGCATTCTGGGAAATTCAGCCCTCAAATGTTAATAGTCTACAGATCGCACTCTGCCTCACCCTTTCTTGGCAGCGATGATGAGCAGATCGTTGAAGAGGAAGAGGTAGATGGGGTTGAACTTTGACCTCTTGTTGAAGAGAGTTCCTCCTTTGGACATTTCGTGCAGCTCCCCTTTCTTCTCCAGGTATCGTGTCTGGGAGATGATGGGGACGGCCTGGAGGAGACACAAGAAACGGCAGGTAAATCTTGCTGTTTTTCAAAATAAATGTCCAAGGAGGTCAAGTCCAACAGAATTATTGACAAATAAAAATCGTGCGCACATTTCTTGTGTGTGTGTTTGGATTTACCTTGAGCTTGTCAAACTCCAGTGTTTGAGAGACATGGATCAGCTCCTCCATCTGTCTCATCTGTCCCACCTGTGTGTTACAATCGTCGATGATCTGTGGGATCATGAAGGTAGGGAACAAAAGAGATCATAAAATAACGCTTTATCGAGAGATTCATTTTCTTTCCACACTTACAAACCTCGCATTCCCTACTGCTGACGTCATATATAACTGGCTGCATCTCATTGGGAGTATCAGGTTCATTCCTTTGACAAATGTCTCGCTGTCTGAGCGAACCATCTCACTCTGCCTTTGTCCTCAGCGACACGGATGATTCACCGTCACTGCGGAGCTCTTTCAATAGGAGGTCCTTCACTCAAGACAATGGCTGACATCAAATATCCAGAGGCACGCGAAGCACTCTGGAGTCAAACTATATGGATTTGTGGTCAGAAGAGAGGGTGAAGAATGAGGGGCGTTTACCTTCGACACCGAAGTCAGAGCCTTGGAGGCCGTCTGCTCCTCTGTCGTCTTCTCCTTTGTTCTCCTCAGGATGTTCTGAAAACGACAAAACAGCAACTTTCTGTTTCTGCGACGGACAAACGGCATCAACAGGATGCATTTTTTTTTCCATCTAAATGCAAACAAAGTCGGAAGGTTGAAACAGGGGGTCTGCCTGTGTGTTTGCTCAAAGGTCGAGGCAGTGACGAGTTTGAAACGGGGAAGATTGCGCCGGCATGAGAACATTCCACGAAGCGACACGCCGTGATGAACTCGGACTATTGCCTTTCAACGGCTGGTAGCAGGGAAAGAGAAGGGTCAGTTATACAGAATGAACTGGCAGTCTGTTGAGACAATTGAGGAAATAATTGAAAGGCTTGACTGCATCGTAGTTATGTACGAGTGACATGACTGTAACACTAACCTCCTGAGCTTCTTCCTCACAGGGAAAGAAAACACAGCTGCAAACTCACTCAAAACCAATTTTATCTAGTGCTGCTGTGCATGCTGCTCACCTCAAGGAGCATTTTGATGCGTGTTATTCGCTGGAAGGGCAGCAGGAGGAAGGACATGAAGGGCAGCCGCTGGCATTGAGGCGACTCTTGGAGACGAGCGATGACCGTCGCGAACGGTGCGTTGTTCTTCCTGCAGACCGACACCAATGCACATTTAAAAAGGTATGTAACGCAGCTCTAATGTTCATATTCGTGGGAAATATGAAGGGACAAAAGTGATAAAGGAGAATAAAACAATGCCGTGGATGAATACAACACATGAGGGAGGGAAGGTTTTACCAAATTCCATGAAATTGGAAATTAGTGGGAAAAACAATTGTGAGGATTCCTTACATGAGAGAGGTGTAGGTCTTATCCTGGTAGATCTGGTTGCGGACGTAGTCGATGTAGGCCGGGAAGTTGTGCTGGGCATGGTAGTGGATGATGTCACAGATGTCGTGGAAGACCAGGTCCTTGAATATGCGTTCCTCCAGGTCCTTCAAGAACCTGTCAGAGAGCAAAAGTTTCACTAAACATGAAAGGGTTTTTGAAAAGAGCAACCAGACAAAGACGAGGCTTTAACTGACTCAGGAAATGACTCATTACATCTTTGTTTTTCCTTCCCAAGTGACCTCATGATAGTTCAAGTCATCAATCACCTTCCTATTTCCCTTTAGCTCCCTTCATCCTTCCCCCTCTGCCGTTTCTCACCTCTCGCTGACCTCTCGGATCCTCAGGATGTTGGAGAAGAGGGTTTTCTTGTCTCTGATGATCATCGTCTCCTGCAGCTCCCGGCTGTTCAGGAAGTGTTCGGTCAGAACCCGCAGGGATCGAAGGTAAGAGGCCTCGGATGTCAGGACCTCGAACATACTCTGCCAGGGACAAAAAAACACAAATATGAACTTAGATTTGATACTGTGGTGTGGGACTCAAAAGCTTCCTCTTTACAACATTTGCAAGATTCTCCACCCTATGAGCAAAAATGTAAGTTCCTATCTAAGAAGGTAAATGTTGGTGGTTGATCAAAAAATGACGCCATCAGCATTTAAAATACTCCTTGTAAATGTTATGCATCACTTATCTTTTACTTCCTCTACTCAACAGGATTTGTTTTCCTTTCTGATGTTGGAAAGTTGACTGTAAAAGCTTTCATAAACTGAGCCTATAGTGAATCAATATTATGTTGTAGCACCGAGTGATGCAGTGAGGCGGAGTGGATCTTAATTTGTATTTAAAAAAACCTCCCTATTATTACTTTAAGATGTGATTTCAAACTTGATAATGCATCTCCCATTTCTCTTCTCCTCGCGTCATCGACCTCTCCCCCGGCACATTAGCCTCTCTCCCCCCCCCCCTCTCCTCACACCAGTGCCTCACCTCCTGGTACTTGCACTGCTCGGGGGTGAGCTGCTCCAGCACCCCTGCCTCCCGCACGGCCGGGAGGTCCTGCCACAGGGTGCTCTGGCCCACTGCGGGCACCGGGCTGCCCTTCGGTGCTCCATTTCCGGTACCGGTTCCGCGACGAGCCGTCCAGTCCATGGCGAAGTCCACGCTGGTTTTGCTGATGTTGCGACAAACTGTCTGGCGTCGGATCTCCTTGATGATGACGGTGGCGCGGTACGTCTGGTACATAGGCTCTGAGGGGAAACATGTTGCAAGGGCTCTTAGTAAATCCCAGTAGCAAGATGATGGTGATGGCTGACATACCAACATGCTGACATTGTATCCTGTTACAGGCATTAATGTTACTTTGTTAGTGGCCTAACTCGTCTTTGTGCTTTTATGTTTTGTTTGGTTACAGGCGTCCGTCTTACCATCCTGCAGCCGGGACTCCCAGCTGAACGAAGTCTCCCTCCTGAGGGAGTCGCTCCTGACTAGAAGCCTAAAGCAGGAAGTATGGAAAGATAGAAGGGATCAACCAGGGTGTTATGACACAAAATGATCCAACAAAAGAGTGAATGGCACAGTTAATGGTTACTCCATACACACAAGAACGCTCATGTTGACTTAAAGGATAGGGCTGGTGAAATTCTACATTTTTCTTATCGTCAACATATCCCAAAGAGAGGTAATGTCAGGCTGATAACTCACAGCTCTTCAGCTGTATCCTCCTTTTCTCCATCATTCCCTCCATTCTCCTCTCCTTCTGCAAAGACAAGGAAACGGAGTCATCGCTTTTGATTACACAGGGAATTAACAATCTGTGAATCATTCATAGCTCATCTCACGCAGAGAGATAATAATGTTTGTTCGGGCACACACCTTTTCTTTGCGTGAGGGATTGCATCGAGGCACTACTGAGCCTCCTGGGATCCATCTTTGGCGGCGGAGGCGGGGGTCTGTGAGGGCTGAGTGGGGGGGGAGTGACGGTCATCTGGGGGCTCAGTCCGCTGGCTGCTGCGGAGCCGCTAGGGGACGAGGGCCGCAGGTTGCGCCACTCCTCCAGCGTGGGCTGGGGTAGAGGGATGCCCCGGTGGACCGGCGTGAGGCTGCGGCTGTCTTGAATCACGGGCCTCCTTGGCGGGATGGCGGGCGGCGCGTCGCCCTGGCTCGGGACGAGTTCTGTGTCCGTCTGAAACTCTGACGTTGGGTCCGAGGTGCTGTAGGACAGTTTAAACCAGCGGGCCGGTTTGCGTACCTTGATGAGAGGAATATCCAGCTCCTTACACAGGGTTGTGGACTGTTTAGGAGCGGGGTTGACCACCGGAAGCGTGGCCTCGTAAATGTTTTCTTCCTCGTCTTGAGTGGGCAAGTGGTGAATTTGTGGCGACTGAGCCCGTTTCGGAGGAACCGGGGGAGACTGAGAGCGAGTGGCAGCGAGAGACGAGAGGACGGCGCGGGGGCCCGGGTCCGAAAGTCTCCTGTGATTGTCGGCGATCAAAACATCCAGACATTGGTGGAGCTTTGCCTTTTCTTGTTTCAACACTTCCCTCTCATCAATCACAGACATCCTGTCCACCTCATCCCCCACATCGCTGTCCTCTCCCCCTCCCGTCACTACCTCTATATCCTCCTCCCAAAGCTCTTCCTCATCAGTCTCATCTGCATCGTCCATGTCCACGGGCACCCATATGAGTTTCATCCCGGGCCACTGGAGGTGGCACACACAGCTGCAGCTCGGCTCGCAGCATGGACCGAGAGGCGTGTGAGAACTGTGCTCCGCCTCCGCTTCACCTCCTACAATCAGCGGAATCTCCACCTCCTTTCCATCAGGTGCTGCGGCGAAAAAGAGGCAACACAGATGAACTGCTTTGAAACGTTTATGAAAATAAATCACCATAAACTTCTTGAACATGTTTTAATAGTTCCTATTGAAGGAAACATAAAGCTACTTTTTTCCTGACTTAATAGGTGTGACTGAGCTGTTTCCTGTCCACTTCCTTCCTACATGTGTATCCCCAGATAGGGGCGGCTCACTTTCATTGAGAGCTTCTTTTTTTTTGTCAGCTGGCACACGCTGGACTGTCGAGTCAGCAGTCCATCGCTATGCAAATACAGCGCGTCTGCAAGTGGTGTCTTCAAATATTCATGGGAAGCTCGGAGCGTTGCATTGGGCAATAAAATCCAATATTGACAAATGGAAATTGGAAATGGAAGAGGTGGAGGAAAGAGAGAGAGAGGCGAGAGAGGATGGAGGTTAAATGGGTCAATGAAAGGAAAAGAAGATACAGTTTAAAAAAATAGTCAAACTCAATGTCCAACATTTCCATATTAGCCAATACAGACGTCTTGTCAATATAGTTAAATAAAGAGGATTGCATTGTTTTAATAAAACGCCATGATTTTAGTTTGTTGCAAACAGTTGCATTGAGCTTAATTGCTCAAATATCACCAGTAGGGCTGAAACAATCAATTGATACGTCTACAGAGAATTAGTTGCCAACTATTTTGATACTGGATTAATCGTGACGGTTAGTTTATTCAACAATTGATCAGAAAATAACTGTTAGTTGCGACCATAATCTCCAGTAAAAAAAAAGATTGGCTTTTTGAAACCTTAATTGATCGATTCTGGAGGTATATGGCTGTATCGCCACAGAACGTCTTTAAAGGCTCCTTGTTGCTGACGAGGAACCGAAACAACGAAGCGAAAGCACAGTTTGTGTAGCTGTGGAGGCAACAAACAAATCTCTATTTAATCAGACGGACAATAAAATGTCTTTGGCTTCTTTGCAGGACTTAGCTGAATATGACACATCAAGGGACATTCCTCCCACTCACACACACACACACACACCCACCCACACACACACACTCAGCTGACTGAGAGAACCCGTTTATGGCTGTTGGTTCATGTTTCTCCAGAGGAACCACACCTGACTGTTTGAGGGTTCACGTTCAGCCCAATTATCCTGACTGACCCTGTAGATTTCAATTGAATTAGCACACACTCGCATGCAAAACGTATGTACATGCACGTACACACATTGTTGCGTCAACTAACAAACGTCCAATCATGTAAAATGATGTTTGTTTGTCAATGAGAGCGACCTTTAATCAAAACCTGTCCAGTGACGGTGAAACTCAAAACACAGTTTATAGCGTCGACTGATCTTTTGTCCCGCAGACTAAAAGCTGCAATAAACTACTTTAAATGTTTCCAGCTCTGAACGGCAGCCACAGATAAGAGTTATGTCAGCTAAAAGTGATTTTCAAGAAATCACATGACACAGTTTACCACATCAAGTTGGAGGCGTGACAACTGTTGTTGTCATTACTGATCCTGTAATAAATACTTAAACCCACGTCTCCAGACCAGCGTAAAATCCACTGTACCTGATCGACCTCCCTCCACACTGATGCCGTCCCCCTCCTCTCCTCCCTCCCCCTCTTTCTGCAACTGCAGGGTGCGGCTCCTCTTCACCGGCAGCGGAGGCGCCTTCTCTCCCCCGATCTGAAGCTGCAGACTGGAGCGGCCCGGTTTGGGCTTCACCGTGGGCGGCCTTTTGAGCCGCTTAATCACCGGTACTTTCGCAGCAGTACCGTTGGTGGGTTTCCCCCCCACCGGTTCGGCTGAATCCTGTTTGCTAAACTTGTTCACAATCCTCTTGACCTTTCCTCCAGAGAGGCTCGCGCTGCCGCCTCCGTCTCCCAGAAGAGGGGAGCCGGTTTGTGGGGACGGTTTCTGAGGGATCGCCGGTTTCGGTTTGGCCGCAGGTTTGAGGGGCAGAGGCGACGTGGGCCGCTGGGATGCTTCCTGGACAGACATGGTAGCTGGAAGTCTTCTCTTACGATGTCTTTAACTCCCAGCACTGACCAATCAGAGGTCAGGCTTTAAGGGAAACAGTCAATGTGAGCATGTCATCATTACCTGATGGGAAAAGAGAAAGGAAAAGAAAGTTTAAAACGAGTTTGGCAAAATGTCTAAATGATCAAACGCATCTTGCATTGTATGCCTGCATCAGACAGCGGAAAGGGAACCTAACCCTTTGGCACAACTCACAACAGTCACATTTTGTGGCTGAAATTAACATTTACACAATCCAATAAACACTACATAAGTTCAGTATTTGCATTACATCGTGATCTCAAGATCAGGCTTTTGAGCTCTGTGCTACAAATCCCCCACTATAATAAGGCCTTCGGAGGAAAAGGAACTTTGCACTGTGAGGAGCCCACTTAGAGCTGAGCTGACAAGTCTGTTTACAAAGTGACGCAGTGAAGGGAAATCCAGCTATGAAGTGATTTTTCAATCTTAAAGTTGCCTCATATCTCTGTACAACTTCTTGAATTGTTAATGACTCGCAGCTGAAAAGCTGGATTTGCTGCCAGTAAGAGTCAAACTATTTTAAAATTCACAGCTCGGATTTCAGTGTAAGCAACAAATACAAATGCCAATTCTTCTTTGGTTTGCTGTTAATTCACGAGTAATGCCAGTGTAGCATGACACACCATTGTATTTCAATTAATAGTTAACCACTGTATCAATACAAATGTGCATTTATAATCACTCCATCCTGTTCACTGTCGCCTGAACAGGTTGAATAGCCTCAAGCTACCTGGTAATCTTTTACCTTTAAGCTAAGCTACAAAGCCACTTGTGCAACAACATTGTCTGAAGTCTTTACATGAACCTCCATTTTTTTAAATATGAAGTGTGCACTGCTGTCTCTTCAACACAGACAACTCATAAGTAGGAATTCAATGAGCATACGAGAAAACTGGTCAGAAATAAAACACAAACACACGCTCACATTCACGCCTGCTGTGAATCCACACTGATTCAATCCTTTCAAACTCAAACACTGAGACGTTTCCTTATTCAAAGCACTCTTGTCATTCAAATGAAGCAGTCAATCGAGACACTTCTTTCAGCCGTGTCTTTAAAAAGAAACATGACGACAAGAATGGGAAATCCAGTGTCCATTCTCGGCGACCAAATGGCCATGCTGCAGATTCTTCTCGCTGCGTTTTATTTTTGTGTGTGTGTGCAACAGCTGAAAGAGGGTTAGTCGTCCTCTGAGTCATCCATAAAAAGAAGAAGACGACGTTCCTGCTTTGTGTGACTCTTTGATTCAGACGTTTCGCTTGTAGCTGCTTGCATCATTGATTTAAGACTGAAAGAAACAACAATTCTAATTGACGATGGATGTAGCGGTCATGTTTTGGATTAGTTGATAAATCGTTTAGTCTACGAGTGTTTAAAATAATGTCGCCTGTCACAGAGGCCAATAAGCAGCCGGCAGTCATCTGAACCCCACGTAGTGCGAAAGTCGATGTGTCGGTCGGTGGTCCACACTGAAATATCTCAACAAATATCTGCTTGTTTCAGAACGAATGCTGAAACAAATCACATGTCAATGGATGACCAGAAATGAAACCAAAATTTGTTTTGATGATTAGTCACTGGTTTCAACTTCTCAAATTTGAGAATTGTCATTTCTTCTCAGCTTCATATTGCTGACAATTTAATTTCTTAAAAACAGGACATTTGAACACATCATCCTTGGGTCTGGGAAACTGTGATGGGCATTTTTTCCCCAACAGATTAATTGCTAGTTGCCGTCCTATTCAGCACTTCTGATAAAGACTATGAATGTGAAACTACAGCCTTTTATCAACGCATCCTCTCATAATCGAGTTGCATTATGGGAAATGTAGGTGTCTGCGTTTTTTGGAGCTCGAACCAGCTTCTGCTGCATCAATTTTGACCTTTATTTTTTAAATCCGTCTCTCTCAAGTCACCCATTTCTTTATGCAAGAGCAACACCAAATCAGTGGAGTACCCCATTGCTGGAGCATTCACTAAAGATTAGAGGATGTTCCTTTTATATAAAGTGCCAGTCATTTCATATGATGTCGCGACCGGACCAGACAAAACATTTTCAAGAAATTAATCGAGACTAGTGCCTTAATACCTGCAGGTAAACGGAAGCATCGCAGCTCACTAAAGTCAATAATACACCACCGGTAGCTGTGTGTTATTGAGAAAGTGCACCAGCTAGTCGGACCAGTTTGGAGGGAGTCGCATGCTGCACAGTCAGTGGAGCTGGTAATGAAAAAAGACAGACAAGGTTTCACGTTTCAGTCTGACTGGAAACAGTTTCTAATCCGACAAACAGTATTAGATCATTAGGAAATGACAGAGTGAATGGATCAGATTTCCTTTTCTAACCACGCATCATCAATCTCAGTTCATTTTCTGACACTCCAAGTCTTCAAGTTCTTGATTTTTAGTACCTTTTACGGGAAACCTGACATCAGCAACGTTTGTGTGTGTGTGTGTGTGTTTATAATGTAGGTCTTTGCAGGTTTCAGTTTTGTCCCTCTGGTTATGATCATTGTCTACAGGGTGACACATAAACCTCAAACAGGAGGGTGTGTACACTCACAAAGCACTCTTCTACACAGTGGGGATAACACGTTCTGTTGTGTGTTAATGCACTTATAGACCCAGTGAGAGTCTGGACTTGAGGTTACTCCCCCTGACTTTCTTTAAAATCAGCCCCTCACCAGACTTCACTTCTCTTTTGTCTCCTTTTGCTCTATTGACCTGGTTAGTTCAATAGCTCCTCCAGTCTACTGGACCCTACACACACTCGGGCTGGGTCAGTGGGACACTCATTCATTCCAGTAAGTGTTCGTCCTGGTAAACCCAATAAATATCAGATATGGTGTGAGCCCTTAAATCAGACCAGCTTGACAACAATCCTTAAGTGCTTTTAAAGGGGGCGCCCATTAATACAATGCTCTCTCTCTCTCTCTCTCTCTCTCTCTCTCTCTCTCTCTCTCTCTCTCTCTGTGTGAGTGTGTGTGTGTGTACAGTATGCCATCTGCTCTGGACACTAATGGGTCAGTGTGTATACAAAATGGGTAGGGGGGGCTTTAAGAGAGCTACCATTACAATTCATGTGATGTGTAGAAGATCCACGTTGGACAGGAAGAAGGGACGGAAAAGGTGTGTGGAGAAGAAAAACACACACACACACACACACACACACACACACACACACTGGTTGGGAATCCAGGAAAGAGGAATAAGCATATAGAGTTTGTGTGGTGACACGAGTGGTAGATAGTCTACAAGAAAACCCTACTTATAGATGTGTAAATGTAATATTTAATGTTTAGGTCTGATAGTCGAAAAGCTGCCATCAGTGGTCTAGTGATCATTATTATAACACAACGCGTTTCCCAACATAAAACTGCCTAAAGACGAATTAAAGTTTTTAAGGGCAGACTATTTACAACATGTTTAATATCAAAGTTTGTCTATAAACTCTTACTTGTATCCTTAAATCGCCCAGAATATGGCGCAGCCCCTGTGTACTGTAACCTGCATTCACAACATGGGATAATATTTCAAGCTATTCAACTTTAACATATTCTACAGTACTACCACACGAGTCCAAATAATTATATTTCAGTATGACAATGTCACAATAATCGTATAAACCCTTAACAAGTGTTACAGCGGTTTCCATGCGGGCACAGGTGCGTCCAAACTCAACCACACCTCACCTGCTAAACGACCAATAATGATCTCATCTCATTAAAAACATAAAGGAAACCTCACCGGTGTTATTCAGGCATGTCTGGTTCTCCCACTGCAGTTATTCGGCTCTAGCGTTGGCAGTCCAAACACTAGAAAACACGCTTTTGCACAAAATCGGTCCGGGGCGCAGCTGCGTTAGTGTAACGTTAACGTTACTTTATGCGTAAATCGTCCCGCAGAGAGAGAGAGAGGGAATAAAAACCGGTCGTTAAATATGCTGATTAAGAAAAAATAAACCACAACGTAGAAGCAAACGGGCTCAGGTTCTTATTGTTTCTCTGACATGCATCATCCTCTGTTGTTGTCTCCTTTGTTACCAGCAGCATGTGTGAGAGGAGAAGGAGAGGAGGTAGGAGACATACAACCCCCCTGAGGGCTCAGACCGACAAGTCACACGTCATGACACTCACAGGTTCCGGTAAGGGATTTCAAAATAAAATCTTAATTTAAACTAGGTTAGGCAAATGCCTAGAATATTGCAGAAAAGACATAACGCTTTTATATTTGTATTTTAACAATTGATTAGGTTGGATGATGATGGCTGGATGTACTCCAGGTTACATGTTATCACTTGATGTACATATTTTAATGGAAGCCTGTGTGATGGGTTTTAGCATTTGTTTTTCATGTTTTATAATGTGATTTAGGAATTTCGCAATGTTTTCTCTTTAAGTCTGTGTGTTCTGTGGTTTACCTGGCTGCAGGACAAATTTACCATCGGGGACCATAAAGTTATAGTAGAGTTAAATCAAACTACAAAATGATAATAATCAACATATATTTATTGTATTATAGAATATAAAATGCATGTTTTATTAACTTTGAAAAGTAAGCAAAAACCCATTCAAACCAATTCAAAACGAATAAATAACAATAATTCAAAGGGAAAACATTACAGTGCTACACTGTTGCTCACTACAGTGAATTTAAATGACTTGCATTCATTATTCCCCGCATTTATTCACACATGACAATAGAATTGTGAATTGTATCCTCATTTTCCCATGATATTCAAAATTAACTGAAACTGTATGAAAGTTGTGCAGCATACACTACATGCCAAAATACCCTTAATACCCTGAAATTAACTTTGTTGTCCACCTGCCTCTGTGAGTGTTGGGTTCCAGCCACTAAATTGGTATTTTATTTCATTAGATAAATATTTTAACTTAAAGAAAATACTGGTATTCTCTTTCCCCTCCTCTCTTTATTTTAGCACTCTTATTTTGAAGGCCAAAATGTCCCAAATCTGTCACTTCCTGGCTGTTTATCATAGACTTCAGCTTCTTGGGTCTTCCAATCTACTGACACACCAGAGGCTGAAACAAACCTCTAAATATGTTTATTTTAAGGCTGGTATTGCAAAAGTATTCTATTTAGTTTTATGTATTTGTTACTTACAGTAAAGTCTTTGCTGGTTTCAGTTAAACAGTGAAAAACGTGCTGTTTCTAACTGAGATACAGTCACTCATTAAATAACAATATCAATCATTACTTTTTTAACGACCAAAGCAGTTACATAATATCATGCCGTGGTGACCACTGCCTGTAAATGGATATCACGTGATACAGCATATACCAACTCTTTATTCTACAGTCTGTGCTATAACCACACATAGACTGTACAAGTGCACAGAAGGAGGTCCCTATCACGTCCCTCCCCTAACCTCTGTATCCCACATTTGTGTCCTACTTCCACCTAGCGCCTTAAACAGGAACAGACAGTCGTGTCGAGTTTATTTTAGATGCTTTATTGTTTTCACTGCCACTCGAGGAGTACAACAATATGCTGGGTTGTAAATGTTCATAATGTTTTAATGGTTCTGCAAATCAAATATATTATTGAAGCTCATTTCTGCCAGCAAAATAAAAGATAAATAGATTAAAAGTAAGACATGAGAAACCCCAAAATATAACCTGCCACTCAAAATGTAGTATCTATCATTCGGGTTCACTATTTCAAAAATTGTCTTCGTATTTCATTTTAGTTATTTACTGTATAACATTTCTTATTTAGTAATCCACACTTTGAATCATTAGTGTTGACTTGCCATCATGTCTGACTTTTTTTTTGACTTCATAAGACAAAATCTTTACTTACTATCTCATAACTTTTACTTAGTAACTCAAACTTTTGACTCATTATAGAAAGTAAAACTTTTGAATTACAATCTCATAATTTCAACATATTAATCCTAATTTGTACTTTCTATCACATCATTTTCACTTAATCTCTTTTTTTGTTTTACCTACCATGCATATTTTTTATTTATATCATTATATATGATTAACAACTATCATTATAAGTATGTTTTCACTACCTGGTGAAATTGGGCTTCTATAATATCTATCTTATTAAAACTATGATTCTCTGACTCCTGTGGAGCCATGTGTGGAGCACACAGGCCACTATGAATGAGAAGTAGACCCGGTCAGTTTGATGAACTCTACACGCTGCGAGGGCTGATAACTTAAAACATTCTTTCACTCATCAATCCACCACGTGTCTCTTTTACATCTGAAAACAACAGCACAGTGGGTAGAGTGAAATATAAAATCAAGCGGGTCTATTTAAGTTGGATGCTCCTGTTGCGCAAAGATACTGCGGCATTTCCTTTATACTCGGTGAGTCGCAGTGCATGCCGGTATCCCTCCGCCGGCAGAGGAAATGCTCCTAGACCAATCACATCTGTGTTTACACCATCACCTGTCAGACACACATCCTCTGCTATATTTTTCTCTCTGAAAGGTAGGAATTCTGTATTTATTTCAATGTTTCGTTGTTTGTCTAACATGTGAGCACCGTGGATGGACTCGGAGTCTGTGCATGAAGCCGGTCCGACCACAACGAGAAGCTATCTTTGCAAGGTTAGCGCCTCCGGAGCTGCAGAGCTGGAGCTTGGTTCTCTGTCCGCCTGGCTTGGTTTTTTTTAGCCGATTATCAGAAAGTCCTTGCGCTTAATCATCCCCGGCTGAGGTCGGAGCACCGTGCTAGCTTAGCGTAGCGACGTTTGCAAGCCTTTTGCATGTGTTCCCCTTACGTTTGCACAGGTTACCGTAGCCTTCACAGCTAACGGGACCAGCCGTGCAGCGCATCTTCAAGCTGGAAATGCACCCGATAGTCGGCTACAGAGAGATGCGTGTGCACGGTGCACGGTTGGGATTAACCTCACCGTCTCACGTTTTATTTCTTATTTATTATAGATAATTGATAGTAGTGGTATTTATTTATTTAGTCACAGCCGCGGCTGAGTTCGCGTTAAACTGTGTTGCATCGAGCCAACTGCTCTTTGTTCCTTTACGTTAAAATGTCTCGCTTTCTGCCAGCTTAATTATGATTTAACCCATTAACAAATATTGTTACTTAAATAAAAGTAGCGATACCGTAATGTAAAATAATACAGATTAAAGTGCTGCGTTCAAAATTGTATTATGATTTTTGAAAATGTACCTTAGAATTAATAGCATTAATTAGGAAGTACAATTATTCATTATGTGAGACAATGATATCAATCAGTTACTTAGTTTTATAATTGCATTAATTGGTATTGCTGCATTAATGTGTAAGTATCTTGTTACTACTTACTATACTTTACGTTTTATTGTAGTTAAGGTGGAGCTATTTCACCATCTGTTTATTGGCTGCACAATTCCATCAAATGGACATATTCCACATTTTATACACATTTTTTCCAAAAGTTAAAACTGTAAAGACTATGTATTTAAAAAAAAAGAGGGGTGTCATGTTTTTGTTGTTGTTTACCAAGTACAGTACAGAGGTTTGTGTTTTTCTTTTACTCTCGAATTTCCTGGACCATTGATTTTGTCAAACTATAAGCGATGAGCAGCGAGATGTGGAGATGGGAGGGGAGGAGAAAGTAGGTGTAAGGTGCAGTGCAGTGTGGGTGTTCACAGTAATAACCCAGCCTCCGTGCCGTATATACCTGTTTTTGATTTACAGTGTTCGCTTTCACTCTTTTTTTTTCTTCTTCCCTCTTGTGCACCCAGGAGCCGAAACACACACTCACACTGAAGCGCCTACGGTAGCCGCTAACTGGACGGACTCTCTGGCAATTGACCTTTTGCAGGTAAGCCTGGCCTCGCTTTGTACAAAATTATTATACAATACACAAGCTGCTGTTGTTCGATCGGTTCTTACACATCTCTGTTTACTTTTATATGTTAGAAGGGGTAACTTAGCAGTGTCTTTACCAGCACGGTCAGATTTCACATGACAGTTATGATCAAATTACTAACTGGGGATGGATTCGCATACCGGTTCATGAGTGAGAAAAACATCTCGGTTGTCGAAGATATTAAAGCAAAAATATAACGTAAAAATGAGTGATTCCCATAATCTTAGATCATGACTTTATCAGAAATATGAGTAAGAGACGTAAGAGACAGAACCTTAACTTAATTAAAGAATAGTTTTTATGAAGTTCTCATAAACGTGTAGTTTTTAGCATTTTAATGATTTTTATTTTATTGCTGCACCAGCCATAAAATGTAATATCAACCCTAAATCATCGTCTCTGTGTTCTGTGAGCACCCACTGTTGACAAGATGTCGTGAGTTGTGAGTTGAGATGTCAGCAGCAGTTGTTTTTAGACTGAGACGGCTCTTAGTGTCTGGCTTGTGATCGCCTTGTCTCTGAGGCTTTGTGGCACCGTGTGTTTGTCTGAGGCATGCAGAGTGTTGATTGGAGCACCTCAGGTGTAAAGTGCAGCATGGGTGCGGTGGAGTAGATCTCCTGCGGCTTGTGGGAAAGCAACCCTAGAGAATATACAATCAAAGTAGGGAGGAAGAGCAATGTAAGAGAAACAGTTTGAAACAGGTTTCTGTATATCTGATGGCTCTCTGCAGTTGGATCGTCCAGTTATTCCTTTAAAATGAAACTTTATCATAAACATTTCCCCCTCAATAGGTTTGATTTCTTCTTCTTTTTTTGTTCACTCCATACTTCACTCCTCTCTGTTTTAGTGGAAAAGCGGAATACGTCTTGAACTATGAGCTCAGTGGCAGTGTTGACCCCGGAAAGCTTTGCGGAGCATCGCAGTGGCCTCAAGGACCAGGACATGTCAGGTAATACCCGCCCGTCATCCTTTTACCCGTTTTTTTACTTTTGTTAGAAGGCGTTCACCTCAGATCTACACAGATTAACTACCCCCCCCCCCCCCCTCACTATCTCTCCTTAATTGAAAATACTCCTCCTCTATCCATCCATCCATCCATTCTGTTTTCGTTCTCCATCACCTTCACCTTTGCCTTATTTATCTTTGTCTCTCCTTGCCAGGCTGCGTCCCGGAGGACGAGGCCTACATCCCCACCTACCTGGAGGCCTTCCCTCCGCTG